GATACCAGTTTATAAGGATCCTATAAGTCTTCCAAATATTAAATGGATAGCTGAAGGATTAAACTTTAATTTATACTGAATTTAACTATCTTTATTCCAAACCAAACTTACATCTTAGCAGTAGTGTTTTAATATAATAACAAATATACAAAATTGATATATAGAGACAAATTGTAAGCTTATCTGATATGGATAGCAAGAGCAATTTTATAATTAGAATACAGAGGAGTCAACTTTTCGCCAAACGTGACTTTAACTACGCCATGATTTAAATTTACACCCAAGGCACGTTCGACTTTAAGTTGATTTAGTTACGCCAGACGTTTTGTCTAGGAACCTTAAACAGAGAAAGGAAGCTTCGTTTTTGATAGATGCTTAATAAGCTTTAGGAGAAAAAAGAGATTTAAGTCTTAGATCATTTTTGTTTAGAGTGTGTTTAAGAATTTTTCATTATTACAGTTTGATTTATAACCTTGCAAAAGTATCGTTTTTAACATCAACTTTTATTATTTTGTTAAATTCCTGAAAAGAAAGGCTTGGAATTTTAGACGCTGCTAAAAAGAAGCTAGGCTTGTTATTGTTCTTAGAGCTTTATTTATTTATTTATTTTTTTTGAGACTTTATTTTGAATCCACTTTGCAACTAGTGCCAGAACCCAGAACCTTGGCAATAGAAACGAACGTATAGATTCATCCAGTATAACTTATATTAAAAAACTAGGCAGATTACCTAATTTATTATAATAAAAAACTACCTTTAGCTCTAGCTAGTTATTTAACTTGCTACTTCATGACAAAGCAAGTGAAAGATATTTCTTTAAAGAAAGATTTATTTCCTCAGCAGAAGGAATATTTTTAAAATGTAGTTAGATATACATTAATTTCATCCTCTCCTCACTTGGTTGAGATAGTCATTGTAGACACAAATTATTTAATTTTTACATGTGCAGCAGCTTTATTATATTATACTCGTATGTGGAAGGTGTATTCCGACCCCCCCCCATCTCTCTTCCTTTGACAAGTAGTAATACAGCTTCTACATCAAGCACTCCAACTTCTAGGATTGCTCACTACCGTAACAGCATCGTTGATTATGCTGTACTGAGCTCTCACGAAACTGAGGTCAGCGATACATTTTGCTTATTTGAACTATTTATTGCGTTGAACTTCTTCATTTGCTTATTATTAAAATGCACAATTTTTTCCCCTAAGGTATTATTAGCATCATTCTTAATTTACTTAAACCTTTTTTCAAAAACCTTTCCACATAAAGGTAAGACCATCCTATATTTCGCTCGAACTTTCGTTCGATCCTATATTCCTATATAGATGCTCACGTGTCTGACAAGCCCGCAAAATTCCTCGTGGCAAGACTGCCTTGAGCAACTTACAGGTGACAGTGCGATTTAGCTCAGTTCCGCCCCCAGTTTTGATGGAGAACACCCCAGGAGCGGTTCGGGTCCGAGGGTCTCCCACCCCTCTTCCCTACCAGGAATTTCTCAAGAGGACGTTCCGCTCGACGCATATTTAGAGTGTCCCCATGCCGTACAGACACTATACATTTACAATCATCCATGCCTTCTCCGGGACTCGAACCCGGGCCCTTCGACACGACAGTCAGTGACGCTAACCGCTATACCGATTGGGCGGCAGATTTAATTTACTTAGACCAGGCGTCGGCAATCTACGCGAGTCAAAACCAATCAAACTGTGTATATTAAGAAGACGTTACGGGTCAGCCGTATTTCCCTTTTAGAACAGTCTTTCTTGACAAACAATAAGACAAATTTTATTGAGAAAATAATTACAATGCACTTTAAACATAAAAATTAAAATATAATTCTAATTATTATAAAAAAGATTAACTGAATGAACTTTATTTTTCTCTGCGATATCAATGGCTTCCCTAATACAGAACTTACCATGTTAATTTAGTCGAGTCTGACAGACTTATAGTTTGTTATCTTAAGACGAATACAGACATCTGAATTTTCGGTATTTAAACTGCTCCTGTTCTTTCTTAAAATAAATTTCATGCGTGAAAAACATTTGCTCGCATTTATAAGTCGAACCGAAGCGAGCAAAATGGCAAAGCCATTTTTTAAGAAATATGGATTATGAATCGCCGTTGCCAAACTTATCGATTTCGTATTGAAATTATGTTACAATATTTATTTTCTAAAAATAAAAATTTTTATAACTGAAACTTTGTAATCAAACAAAAGTATTATTGCTTTATTAATTTTTGGTGAATTTTTTATGTTATTTTCAAGTGTTTGTTTCCTATTTATGTTTTATAATTAATTTTAATATATTAGACTTTATTTTCGGAACTCAGGTGGGTCACTTGAAACTATAAAATGGGTCACTCCGTGACTCGCGGGTCATTGGTTGCCGATGCATGACTGTGATTCAGACTTCTTCGCCATGTTACATAAAACACTTAATTGGCATGAATGATTCATAGAATCACTTTAAACATAAATTTGAGTTGTTTTCCAAATTTTTGACTACTAACTATTCCACTGTAATATTATCTACTGTTTTGCATCGCGAAATCTGAAATAGCATATAATACTTGAATATAAAATTTTGGAGTCATGTCTAAATTTTCTGAGTTCTTTCTCTTTCCTAAAAATGCACAAATTAATATTACCGTAAAGAGTCGCCCAGACGGTCCGGTGGTTAGGGTCGCCGACTGCAACACCGAAGGGCCCGGGCTCGAATCCAGGAGAAGGCAAGAATGTCAATTCTCCGTCACCTCATAGAAAAATTAGAAATAAGTTATTTAGGTGCCTCCATAAATAACTTAGCAGTGACGAAAGCCTAAAAATGGCTATTGCCCGCCATTAAAGAAAAAATTGTTATAAAGAGACTTTTTAATATCTGTTAGAACGAAAACGTATTAAACTGCAACAGTCATAAAAATATCAACTTATCAGCTTAAATCAGTTAGATAATCTTATTATTTTACGAAATCATGCTGCAAGTTATTTCATAAATATATTTTAACAACTCTCCTGGGAGACATTTATTCAACATATTTAACTATTTTTTTCCCTCGAATTTCTCATTAGTTTTCAACCATCCTATTTCTCACATTAAGTACCACATTTAGTATAATGAAAAGGATAAAAATTATTTTATTGACTTGGTTAGTTTTCTTTTATTTTCATATAACTATCATTCATACAATTAAATATGTTTCTGATTTTGAAAATTCTGATTAAATGTTAGAATAATATTAAAGCCTTAAAAACACATTTTATTACAAAATTATTTTATTTATATTGTATAAATAAGCATTTATACGCTTACAGTCCGACTTTCGTCTGTAGTCTACATTCAAGTGAAGCATAAATATTGTTGCAAACGAAAAATATGAAATAGATAATTAAAAAAAATTCGAAATTTCAAATTAGGGCTTCCAAATGCCTATATTAGGTGGAGGGTTACGTTATTCAAAATTCGATGGCTCTAGGTACCATTGTTTTATCACAATGCGAGAAAAATACATAAATTTATGCAGGTTCTTCATTATCTAATTTCTTTAAATATAATACCGGGCTGTAATATTTGGTAGCAACAGTTGGAAAATTGCATCAACGCAGAAAGTGAATCAACGCAAAACGCTAAAACGAAGCTAACGTCCTTTGGGCTAAAAATATTATTTTATTTTTTAATAAAAGAATCAGATGAATGCTATTACAATAATAAAAATAATATGCGAAAATTCAAAAAAAAATATGACAATAATAATAATTAGCAGATATTTTTGTTACTGTTCCATTTCTGCAATGCTTAATATAAAGTAGCATTTCATTATTATGCTATGTAAAAAAATCTAGTTTCTCGTTTTACTTCGCCCACACAATGAACAACTTTCGATTTCATTGAAAATCTGACAAGAACAAGATCATTCGCATTCAGGCATTCTATTAACGAATAACTATTCTATTCAGGCATTCTATTAACGAACTTAAAATAAGGAAAGTAGAAAAAATATCAAAATTAATTCGGATTACTTTCAGAAATATGTTTTAACAGCTATTTTTAAAGAAGAAATTTCATCTCTTTATCCAAACAATCTTCACTGCGTTAAGTTTCATCAGCATAAGGTTCCAAGCCATAACTCTAAGTCTACTGCTCTGTTTTTTTTTTAAGAAATGAGAAATGAAAACGGATTTGAAGGTATTCTCTTTAAATGGATCATATGCGAGTCCCCTGATGTATCTCCTATGGATTACTGTGCATTTAGAATTTTAAAACAATAATAATAATTCAGCAAATAATTTGACGGTGTAAAATCGTTCTTATATAATACTCGTAAGTTGTCGAGTTTTAAATACATAAATTAACAACATAAATACAATACCTTGATTTATCTATTATACAAATATTTATTGATATATTTTTAAACAATTCATTTAAAATACCATCCCATTTCGAATGCAAATTACTTTTCAAGAGTATCGAACGCATTGCTATGCTATCGCAATGTAATAGCTGCTTATTGCTATTGTTTTCTTCAGAATTATCTTTATTTATGAGGTAAACAACTGAAATTCCCCAAACACTTAGTAATTTTACACATCATATTAAGGCTACATGTTCTTCGGATTGCCATTTAGAGAAATTGGAATTTGGAATACTAGTATAGTATTTATAACTATTAGTGTAGTAATTTTGTCCAGTAAATATTTAGGACATTTCTCGAAATTTTTAAACTGTTGATATTATTGGGCATTAGATCGTAAAATTTTACTGAAACATATTACTAAATGGAATGGCAATTTCCGTGTGACAAGCATGCATTGCACTTTATTCAGTATTATATAAATAACAAATAAGACAGAAATTTAAACATACATAATAGGAATTTAAACATATGTTTTGTAAATGATACTTTAAAGTTAACTGCATTATCTCGAACCATGATTCACAGTTTTTGCATAAAAAAAAATAAAATTCACTAGTAATTAGTTTTCATCGTTTACTTACAGCTTTTCTGGATCCTTGGCAGTCGTCGACATTGCAAAGATCTAGGCGAAGATAAGATTTTAATCCCTTTTGCTTTTTGAAGTTTCCATTGCCGTCTTTGATTGCCTTCAAGGGAGTGAAATACATAACTAGAAACATTTCCATCTCTTGAAAACGACGCTACATCCCCGACATGTTACGTATTTCTTTGCTTTAACTTGAAACCACCGGTACAGTACATCAACACCAATCCAGACAAAACTAACAAAAACAAAAAAAAAATCTTGAAAATTAATTACTCAACAATTACGTAAAAAATAACAAAAGTTAGCGAAATTTTCAATGCGTTTATCACGAAAAGGAAATTTACTTCCACTACTGGCGGTATTGAGTAAGGGAATTTGGAATGTTCTCTCTCTCCCCTTCCTCCGTTTGTTGTTCAGAAGTTGCTCAGTTAGGAACGTCCTCAAGATGTCGGTTGCTGACTCACCTAAAATTGGCAAGTTTAAGGTTTTGGTAAAAGAGGGAGCGTTATAAAATTACACAACTGAGTAGAAATTTTCTGTCAGTTGTATATCTCCCTGAGCGAGAAATTGCAAACTAGTATATGAAGGAAGAAGTAAATGAAAAAATAAGAAAAGACGTTTTTACATTAAAATAATTTTATTTTAAAATTCTATAACTTCTTTAGAAATCGTGCAATTCTTTCCTTTTCACATCCTAGAAAGCATAAACCTACTAGTGTACACTGTATTTCCGGCATGTCCTCGTTAAATTACTTGGCGTCGTCTACATCCATAACTCTCTGTACTTCTGTTTTATAAACAATAAAAAAAGCTTAGCAGGAAAAAACATTTCATTCAGTTGTAACCTTATTCATTCATTCTAACGATCCAAATTAATACATGTAAATTAACTATACCGTTGTCTTTAAAACACCATATTATTTGAACCTTTTCGTTCAATTTAAAGACACCTTATGCAGAGTACATAAGCAATTAACGTGCGTTACATGACTAAGAAAACAAAACTACCAAATGTTTACAATAGAACAGACATTTTATATTTCAGAATTGAGAGAAAAAGTTCGTTGCTATGGTTTATTGTAAATTTTATGAACCTACAGAAAATTACTTCTAGGCAAGAAATCTGTCTGCGATTGATGCAAGACTCTTAATGTTTGCAGACTGTCGTATATGCAGCTACAATTGTAAATTGTATCATCAGTACCGATCCTAGAACGTCGGCTGCCCGCGTGCAAATTAAAATTGGCCGCTCTTTTTGACAGAAATATAATATGTTTGATAGTCATTTCCCCGTCCTTAAATTTGGCCGCTGATGTGCTGTGCACTATATTGCCCCCCGCTAGGATCGGCCCTATGTAGCATGTAACTGTAATTGTAATTTAGAGTAGCAAATTGTACGCGTAACCCGAGGGGGATTCACGAGAAATTATATTTAGGGGTACGCCAAAGAAGTAAGCTTACTATAATTTGAGAGTATATGATTGTCTATATTTACATCATATTATATAACATGAGGTACAACTTATAATTATTTCCGTCTTGACGGTACGCGATCAAAAATGTTTGGAGATCGCTGGTGTATAATAAACGATGTTGAACTAACTGATCGTGTATCATCTTATTTTTCGATTTTGTTAATAACTCGGAAATACATCGCATGGCGTTGCTAGTGAAAAAATTACACGTGAAAGGAAATCGTTTACAATATATGCATTGAAACCGAAATTTTTCATGGCTGGTGTGTTGTTTATTTGTAAGTAAAATGATCAATAAGTACATAATATTTATACCAAGGTTCTCAACCAAGGAGGAATTTCTAAGGGAAATTTCACAATTTCAGGCGGAATGCTGTCAGCCTTTTATTTACCTGATGAGTATTTAGTTTCAGTTTATGAATAAAAAGTTGTTTTTATTCAAATTTTGGTATTCATCATCATTTCTTATACTTCTTCTCATTTTATTTATAAAACGCATTAAAAACTAATCTAGATTTAAATAAATATGCGTTTATTTTTCGAGTTTAGGAAAGAACGTAAGGGAGTGATTATCTAGCTATGGTGAAAGGGGCTGCATGAAGCAAAATCCGTGGTTTAGACGATTTAAAGTCTTAAAACCATGGATAGATTAAATCCGCGGAACTTTTAAGTTTTAAAGAAACTATAAGTAAAATTGGGAAAAAATGGAAACGAAAATTTCAGATTTGCTTGATAAAATATGACATTCAGAGGAAACAATCAGTGCCATAACATGCCACGCAAAAGCTACAAAATGTGAAGTCATCTTCAAATTATCAAGGGAATAAAATAAAAAAGCTTATAAAAAATGTGGAATTGGTCACAAGTAATGCAACTGCAAGTTGTAAGATTTGTTTATACAGTTAAAAAAAAGTTACACTGTTAAAACGTGCACTAATAAAAAATATTTAAATTGTGCAGAACAATTCAGAACGATAGTCGGGTAATAAATTTGAGTATTTTCTAGGATCTGTAGAAGATAAAAATTTATTATCTGAAAGTGGGCAAAATGGTTTGCAAAACTAAAAGATAAACATAACTAAATACTTTGTATAACATATTTCCATTGCTTAAATCAGGGTTCTCAACCTGTGGTACACGTACCACTGGCGGTACGCAAGAGAAAAATAGGTGGTACGCAAAGAAGCAAAGTATTTTTAACTATTAAATTCAAAAAATTAAAACATCAAATTCCTGATTGAGTTTTTTCTCTAATACTCGTAAATTTATGGGATCTGAGCTTTGTTTACAATTGTGGTGGTACGAAAGGTTTTCAGTTTTTGTTTAGATGGTACGCGTTAGTCAAAATGTTGAGAACCGCTGGCCTAGATTTAAACAATTAAATGTATGGGGAAAATCTTGGTTATTAAATTAAAAGAATACAAAATCACTTAAAATAATTACGATGGTTCTAAAACTGATGCAGCTAGAAAATGTAAATTCTTATGTGAGACATCTAAAGGTAATAAGATGAAGTAGAATTACAAGTAGAACACGTGATAAAACAATTTATGTTATTTTTAATTTGACAATATTGCAAAAATTAAATCTAAGAGTATGTACAGTAAATCCTGAAGTTAGCGAAAAGTTACCAGAATCTTTAAATGGCTATCAAAACTTATTTAAGGGAGTTGGAAATTTAACTGATTATACATATTAGAATAAATTATAGCTAAAAGCAAGTGGTAGCTCTGCAAGAAAATTCCGCTTAGTTTAGTAAATCTTTTAAAAACGGTAGGTTGAATTTGGTTTATTTGTTTATGAGAAAGCACTTGATTGTTACTGCCTAAGGAGAAGAATGCCTTCGTCGAGGACTTTCTAGGATAAATTGTGTCATATGTACGTTCCACGCGGGGAAAACCATTCAGTCAGTCCGATCCCTGAGATTCGAATCCTGGACCAAACTACCAATGTTCAGAAATCTTACCGCTCGGCCACTGAAGAGCCGTTAAAAAAGGAACTAGCAAAAATGGAAAAAGTGGTTATTAAATAGAAATTAATTAGCCTCGACAGTTTGTGAATTCATTAGTTGCGTTAAGAAACAACGCTAGTAATTTAAGAGTTTGTTTAAATCCTCAGTATCTTAACCAAAGTATACTGAGAGAAAATTAGCACATGCCAGCTTTCGAGTAACTTCATCTCAAATGTCAGATGCAAAAGCATTTAGTATTTTAGATGCAAATGGACCATTTTAGCAAATTAAACTATTCGATTCAAATAATGATTTTCTTACATTTAATATTGCATTTGGTAACTATTGTTTTTAAGGTGTTTATATGGACTATATAGAAGTTTTCTGAAATTTTTGGTCATGTAGAGGGAGTTCAAATATACATAGATGCCTTTTGAGTTTCAGCAAAAGATTAAAAAAAAACATGATTTAAGATTAGTGCTGGAAAATGTCAGAGAAAAAAATGTTAAATTCATTTTGAAAAAGTGTAAAATTGGACGAATAAAATCAAATATATGGAATGTATATTTTCTAAAGATTGTTTAAAATCAGATGAAGATAAAATTAAGGCTTTCTAGATATTAAAGACACCAAAAACGAAGAATTACAAACTTTTTGGGAATGATTACATATATTTCTAGATTCATACTTAGTGTATCAGAATTGATATAATGTTTGCGAGGTTTGATGATAAAAGAGGTTGTCTGGAATTAGAATGCAGTACATAAAAACGATTTAGGAGGTTAAATGATGTCTTTATAAATAAACTAGTCTTTCGGTATTACGATCTAAACATGCCTGTAGCTTTATCCAATTACTATATATCTCAAGAAGCAGTAGGAGCAGTCTTACTGTAGAATAATTTACCAGTGGCATATGCATCTAAGACATTAACAGATACGCAGTCTTATGCTGAAGCTAAAAAAGAAATTAATGTGAGAAATTTCAAAAGTATGTATTTGGTACAATGCTTATGAAAGTGATCAAAAAACACTGGGATCATTTTTTAAAAAAACTATTAAACAGTGTCCAAAGAATGCGTATAAGATTACAGCTCTATCTATATGAGCTAAAGCGTAAGCCAAGGAAAGAACTCTTTATAGCTGATGCTTTATCAAGATCATTTGATAATAAAGGATCTAATTTCTCTAAAGAAAGAACTGCAAGCTTTGGGAAACTCAATTAAAAGTCGAGATAAGAAATCTGATCCTGAACTATCAAAAACGATATTTTAACTTCAAACTTCAGATAAAAACTATCAGAAGCAAATGGATTAACATTGCAGTGAATTTTGTATATATGTAAAACATTTTAGTGAAATTATATGCAAATTTTAATAGCTCTTGTATAATGCAGTGTTAAAGGCCTTTGAAATGCGAAGCCAATTTGGCCAGCTAGCGCCAAGCATGCGATGTTTTGGCAACTAATATTGATCTCCAAATTTGGTGAGAAATTGCCAAAAGGCTCAAAACTTTGCGACCATTTGGCAACATTTTGGTCCGATCCCTACGTAACTGTAACTGTATCTCAAACTGCGTATGCCTTCCATCTGGAAAATTCTCGGCGCTGCGATCGCAGACGATGGAGGCGGAATCTTTACAGAGCTCTTGACTTTAGCAAAAGTTAGCTTTTCAACTAGAACCAATCTTTATTTTATACATATTTTTCCCCATCATCACATCTATTCAGCTTTGTCAAACGCACTCATTACACACAGCTGGGAGACACTACACTATTTATTGTAAAGGAACACAGCTTCCTCCCCTTTTCACTACACTCATGGATTCAATCGAATCTTAGGAAAACTTTCTACTTCTTTTCCTTTTCTTTCTGTAGGCCTATTCTCTCTCTCTCTCTCCACTACTTTTGGGCCATTTATTTTAATTTTATCTTGTCCCATCTTTTATTCCTGGCCTTTTGAACTAATAAAATGTACAAAGTTCCTTTTTACTCTCCTCTGAAATACTAAAATTGCTCCACTTTCTATATACCTTTCCTTCGCAC